GGCTTGCGGCGCCGGTAACTGGGGTGAGGGGATGAGCTCCTCCCGTGTTTCACCCCCTGCGGGAAAATCAGAAATGAAACCTTCGGTTCATACCCGCCAGGAACACTGGAGGGAGGGAGGAAAGGGGATGAGGAGAACCGGGTGAAGTAGTTCCTCCACAGGCAACACCAAGAAATTGAGTGTGAGAGCTCCTGGGGTTCTACAGCTGCTCCAAAAATAGGAGTCAACAAGCACAAATAAAAGAGTTTTCCCCAAGGAAAAAAAAATAGATAACTAAATCTTGCTCTTTTCCCAGTCAGCTTGCCCCATGAAAGAATTAAAAAATGTTCGCTGTGCTCACCAGCCTTCCCTGCCCATCTAAGCGCAGGGTGAGGGTGTCGCTGGCAGTGCTCAAACTAGTGATGCTAAAACAGTGCAAAACGGTTTTGTGTTGTTCTCAGTGACTGGAAGAATTCCATACTGGGTCGCACGACTTACAGTATCCTGTGCCTAAGGCGTTGTGAGATATAAAATGAAAATTTTCAAACTACGAGAAACCACAAGATGGTGCTGCCATTGCAGACAGCGGGAAAATTATTTCTCCGCAGCGATCCATCAGCGAAGGACTCGATAAAGCTGCACACATTGGTCACGGTACATGGGATGGCTTGTCAGGATGCCTTGTTTAAGTGTTCTGTGGAAGAATGTAATAGATTTTTATGCTTTGTAACAGTGCAAGTTTCATTTCTTTTCTCCACTTAGAAGGCATAAGCCAAGCTTGAAAAATACTATGTATTTAAATCAGTGGTTGTGAGACAGACGGAGTGAGTGCTGAGACTCTTTAGTAGCCTCCATGCCGTTTGTCACATTTATTGCATCCAACGCCATCTGGTTTCCTGAAAGGATGCAGGGCTTTATTAACACTGTGGCTGGCCTGTGCAACGGCTGAAAGCGGGATAGATTCAACAGTTATTTCCCTCTGGATGTCTGGAGAGATCCATGAAGAGGTTTCACATTTTGCAGCTTGAGAAAAGGCTGCTGCCCCGCATTCTCCCATAGGAGCCATTCAACCTGAGAGTGCAGCGAGGGAAATGGGTGGAACGAGATGAAAATGGACTTTTTGTGCTCCAATGACTGCTTTAAAGGTTGTTTCTCACTATTTTTAAATATCTCTCTCTCGAATGCATTTATTACTAAAATATCTTCATAGTTTGTTCCCCCTTTCTCAGGAAAGTGGCTGCCCAAGCAGAGCTGCTCTGGGGATTTATAATCTTGTTAAAATTGAAATTGATCTGTCAGCTGAAGTGCTTTTGAAAGAAATTTTAAATATTTGGATTAGTTAGTACACCTTTCAGTAATATTTACATGGTTGACATTTGAAAATGAAATTAAAAGTAGAGAAACATCTTCATCCTTGGAGAAAAGCGCTTTAATTCTGCTGTGCATGTTGCTGCAGCCAGCCAGTAAATACATAAGGCAGATAAACAGAACACCCAACGGTGGGAGGATGGGTGTTTTTTAATGAAACTACTTAATGAAAGAAAGCTAGCATTCGCCTGTGCTATAAAATCATTTTACACTTAGCATTGTGTCAACCTCGTTTTTTCTGTTAACCTTTTTCTGAGAGAAATAGCATCAAAGTGGAACACAGAAGTCCCAGATTCTTTCCCTGCCTTGGGCCACAGGTGAGCTGTGCCTTCTGGTAAGACCTGTGCTTCCTCTGGAGTTAAGGGAGTTTTCTCCCTCCTGCAGTGCTATGATTGTGCATCTGTGAATGTATCTAAAAGGCTACATAAATGTACAGACATTGCTGAAATTGTTAAATTATGTTGGTCGTATGAGGCAGACGGAGTCATTGGTAATTGCTCTGTCTTCACTACAAGAATATTAATATCTCCTGCACGCAGTAGCAGTGACGACTGCGGAGATCAGAAGACTTCTGAGGTGTATCATGATTATTACCAGTTTCTCTCAGGTTTTTGGCTCTAGAAAGAAATTGTAGAAAACGAAGCAGAGGCAGAATAATTAGAATTGAAAAGGAACTATCTTGACCTGGGAATGTCTCGTTTGAGTGTGGCTCTCGGGCGCTGCGTGCTAAGGCAGTAGCGAGACAGATGTAAAGGATTGGCTGGCACAGAGAGCGGCTTCAGACTCTGCTCAGTAAACAGAGCAGTGTTTGAAGCTCCAGCTCAGAAAGGACGACGCTGCTTGCATTCGAGTGCCTGTGACTGCCAGCAGCTGAGAGCGGTGAAGCTGTACACGGCTCCGGTCTCTATTTCCACCTCTGCAAGTTGTGGGCGACGACTCCAGCAAGGCAGAGAGTGGAGAAGCAGCTGCTGTTCATTGGCTTCACCGGTCACTTCATTTGGACGAGAGCTGAGCAGGAATATTTACTCGGATACAGGGTGAAGAGCGTGGAAAGATGATTTGAAGTCAAGGAACTGTCTGAAGGTGCCAAAGCCTGAGAGTCTCAGCAAAGAGTGGTGCTCAAAGCTGGAGAAGGATGCTAAAGCTAGGCACTCTCTGACACTGAGCAGCCTGTCAAAGCTAAGGCAGCAACTGCTCGGGGACTCTCAGGATCCTAATCCTAGGAAGAACAACAACAAATTCAGGAGTACTGTGGATTCAAAAGCTAAATAATAGCTATTGCCAAACTTCAAGCAGCCACATCTACTTTAAAACTGAGGTTGGGGCACTGCTTGAAAACGTTCTGAAGGGAAACAACCTGTACTGGCCAGGTTCTGGGAAAGCAGGTGTCCAAAAGAGACCTTTTCTTCCTTGCTCCATTATGATCTCTGGTTAAGTGTTCGTGTCCCCGTGGGAAAGAGGCAGAAAAAGCCTCTGCGAGTTACTTCCCAGGTCTGTCACCAAAAGCAAAGAAACCATTTTGGATAAGAGCGTGGGCTGATTAGCAATCTTCCTGAAGAATGTCTGGCCAAGACACTGAGGACTTTGGAGCAGAAAACCTCTCAGAGAAGTCTCGGATGATTCCGAGCCTCCCGCCGTATGACATGGATGAGCAGCTCCTTCCCAGGGAGCGCCGGAGTGCCTGGTGCTGCTTGGTATGGACCTTGGTGGTGGTCACCATGAACTCCTTGGTCTTTTGCATGAATTTGCTCCTGATGTTTGTTATCTTCACTGTTGTTCTGCTTCCTACCATTGTGGTGGTTTACTTTGGCTTCCAGTGCCACTCTCGGGTAAGTAAGCCTTGCTCCAGTTGGCTGCTCACAGCCCCTCCTCAGAGAGGGCCATCCATAAGGGCTTTATTTTAGCTGGCACGTTCGTTTGCCTGGGGGAGTACGGGCTTTATGGTTTTCGCACTGATTGTCCTAAAATAGTTGATTGGCACCCATACATTCAGTGTCTTCACCACAGAGGCAGGGAGGACACTGACAGAGCTGCGTGTCCAGTTCCTCAGGGACTGAGATAGCACGGGACCCCTTGGTCCTGAGCCCCTGTGCACGGCACTGCGATCACTTTGCACTCAGCTGCACAGAGATCAACCTACAGCATCGCCCAAGATGCTCGCATGAGGTGCCCGTCTCGTGGGCACGCCTGGATGCTGGCAGGAATGAGCGAGATACATTTTTACCCCTTTCTTCTGCCAGCATCGTGAGAAATGGAGGCTTGATTGGGCAATAAAGTTGTATTCTCATGAAAATACCAAGCAGCTGTGACAGGTCAGGTGAATACACTGCTTGGCTTGACAGAGGTGCTGTTTGCATCTTAATGTCACAGTATTTCTCTCTTGTTTGTGACCTCTATTGCCAAACTCCTCTGTAATTCGTGTAAGTTCTGTATGGGCTCTGGTAGGTTTGTTACTTTCCATTTAAGTAAGCCCTCTACAAGGGCTCTCGGATTTGATCTGCCTAATGACTAATTATAGAAGTAATAAAGCCCAACAGGAAATATAATCCCCTTCTTATGCCAGTCTAACATTCAGACGTGTTCCCAAATGTGCTGCACAGCTTCTCACACCAACAAATGTCAATAAGGGCCATGGCTGTGTGCGCATCTGCTCCAGCTGGCTGCTGTCCTCTGCATTTCATTATTTCATTACTTATAAATTTCTTCTAGGTGTATTTCTACAAATGTTTTTGGAATCACTTAACTAAGTGTGGATGTTACTGCCTGTTTTCCTCACAGGCACTTAACTCTTAGACCAGCTTGATATGATTTCTTTTGCTGCTATCCCCAGAAGAGCTCTTTTACTTCCTACTTTGGGGGAAAAAAACCCACTACACACCGTAGTATCCTCTCTCAGCAGAATTGACTCAAAATATAGGGGCTATTGGTCTCCCCATTCCACAGAATCTGAGCTAAAGGGAAGATTATTTAAATATCCTCAAACTGACGTGTTTTCCTTAGAGGGTTGGAGGGTTTTTTTAGTACAATGGGTTGTGTTTCTTGTACTGCTGAAAATGTAGAAAGAGGAAAGGAAGCTAGGGGATGCAAGCTTTGCCTCTAGCGTTTGTTAATGCGGAACAACTGCGTGGTTTGACTCGGATCTCCTGCTGCCAGGATGAAAGGAGCATTTCAAATACCACTGAGCAAGGAGCAGTTAGTGCTTTGCACCAACTTGGGGTGAACAGGCTTCCCTGGCAGATTTTGCAACACCAATTGATTCTAGGAGGTAGGAATGAGTATAGTGTGTGTGTGAGGACAAAACACAAAGGAGTCTGTTCCAGGGCAGGAGTCTGGAGGCTCTCCAGCCAGGGGGTAGCTAATATCTTGCTGTATTTTGCTTACTTTGTTGTAATTTCCAGTGTGTTGTGCCACCCGCATCGATGTGGCAGCAGGAGGCCTTTTTGTTTGGTTTCTGCCTGTCAAATGTTAAGCTGTGTTATTCCAATGACCTAATAAAGACGAGTGTTCCCTGCTTCAGGATCAGTGCGTGGGGCTTTTGTCTCACAGCGATGCCGGGATAATTGGAAGCTTGATCAAATCATGTTGTTAGTCACACAGCGTAGCCTGAAGATTGCTGAGCTCAGCTCGGAGAGGGGCAAGAGGGGTGTCTTTCTGCGAAAGCGCTAGAAACAGAAATGTACTTTGGTCCCCATTCCCAGCCATCACCAGGTCTGTCACCAGCTCTGTCTCACTCTTCCCACAGGTGCTGCACTCAGCTGCTCGCTACTGCAAAAGCATCTTGGATGACAACAGCTCTTCTGCCCTCATTATCCTCGGCTTCGTCATCATGTCCCCTCTCATTGTGGTGGCCATGGCTATCTACTGCAGCCTGGCACGGCGTCTCCGCCTCTTGATGTGCTTCCAGCCGTACAGCAGGGCCGTGTACAAGGGGGTGAAGTGGCGCTGGTACGAGGAGGGAGGGCTGTGCCGCTGTGCCAAGGGCTGGAACACTCAGGTCAAGGCCTGGGTGTGAGTTTGCAGCAGCAGAGGCCCTGCCCTAGCCAGCACCCTCTTCTCCCTGCCCTGTTACTCCCCACTGTCCCCTCCCAGCATCACCATCCTGAGGTCTCTGCAGGTGAAGGTTGTGTAGTACCAAATGTGAGAGGAAGGGAGATCCATTAATGAGCTGTCTTCTGTAAGTGGGTAGGATTCTGCCCGCTTCCAGTGAGCAAAGTACAGAAAAGTCCTTGAGGGTAGAGACAGTGCCCAGCCCTGGAGAGAACACGGACTCCTCCCAGGCTGTGTTCCCCGCTCCGTGGTTCTGCAAAACTCCCACAGGGCCTGAACTGATGCTTAGCTAAGTCAGCTGGTTCCCCTCTTGATTTCAGTGAAGGAATACCACAGACCCACTGTCATAGGACATGCCACAGATTGTCAACGGGGTGTAAAACTGGCTGTATGTGAGAAGGTGTGGCAGGGAGGGAAAAGCCTGGCACCTCGATGCGTGATTTTGCCTTGTCAAATCACTGCGGGTCTGTGCAGTGTTGGGTTCACGGGGTCTGTGTGCTGCTGGTCACTGCAAGCTGTGTGCTCCCACTGGCTCTTGTTCCCGTCTCCCAAATACAAGCGTTTCAAGTGTTGTGTATAAATAAAGATCACGTCAAATCTCCCCTGAGGGAGTTTCTCTCTGTTCCACTCTGGAACCTGAGGAATGTCAAGTTTGCAATTGAATGCTTTTCTCGTGGCTCCAGGATTTTGCAAGGTGAAAGTGCTGACTAAATGGTTCTGATGCCATTCAGGA